GCAGCTTCGGGACCTTATTGACGATTATGAGTGTTAATGATATACCGCACCAATTTAAGTGTTTGGCGCAACGACGGACACATATTGGGTGGGGCGCCTCAGGTGCGTCCTCGTCCACGTTTCGACACACAAGTATCTCAGGCCGCGTGGTGCACCATGCTCCAGACTGCTCCATGTAGGCAGACATGCCACAACCAAGTCCATGGCTTCGTTTCGTTATATGACTACCAGAGATGTTCCCGTTCTACCCTCCACATCACTTCTTGGAACCAACGCCTCACTGATGCTGGGACGCGCGCTATGGATATCGTGGAATTGGCGTTTTGGCGCCTCTTATCGGATCTTATCAGTCGTTATCACTCCCCCACCAAATATGTTCCCGTCCCACCCCCTACAACATACTCAAAATACAGCGCTCCACTGTTGCAGCGAAGCGCGCTATGAATTTCGTGACAGACAGACACACACACACACAGACCTACACACACAGACATACTTAGCGAATTATATATATAGTAGGATAATAATCGTCTTCACAAACATTAACAGGAGAAGAAGAGAGCCTGAACCTGAAGCAGAGGGACTTCTAAGTTATCCAGATGTGGGGTATCACATATTACATGTATGTGTATGGTATTACATCAGGGGGTATTTTGCTAACCTGTGAAGGGGCAGTCGCCCGGCTAAGCCGGGCGATCCCTCAAGAAGGAGGAGAGCCCGGCGTCAGCTGGGCGATCCGACTGGTTGGTTTATATAATGAAAGTGGAAAGCGATTGTGCTCCCGTATTGACGCTCTTCACTGTCCGCACCGTCTGCCCCGTCCGCACGGACCGCACCGGCGCGAAGTATGAAGGCAGCCTTATACCCCTCCTCTCCGGCGCATGGTAGCGCCACATCCTCCCCCCTTTCTCCTCTCCCCCTTCCTTCCCTTTCTCCTCTCCCCTTCCTTCCCTTTGTCCTCTCCCTCCTTCCCTCTCTTTCTCCCTTTCACTCTCTCTACCCCCTCCACTCTACCGCCCCCGCCCCTCCCGGGAGACGGTCAAGAGTCCCCCTCGACCGCCGCGCCAAAACTAGGTCACCGCGCGCGACGTTGCCGGCGTTTTTCAGGACCCGCCTCTCTTGACGATCGATACAACTTTTTTGTTCCGTCTGTGTAGTCCCCATTTCTGCACTTGTTTTGACTTAGTCCTAGGTGACAGGGTGAAAATCGTGTCGAGTACGTGGTCGCAGAGGTACGACCCCCCCCCCCCGAAATCGAGATCCTGGCACGACCCCCTCTAACAGAGCAAATTAATTCAATTAAAATAAATCCTGCAAAACAAATCAAAAAAATTCTGCAAAATAATGCTAAGGACGCTTCATCTTGTCATCTATGCACGTCTTCCATCGCTGCATACTTTTGTGTACATACTGAAATATCGACTCGAGGAAAGAGGCATTAACTTTGTGTGACCTCAAGGCGAGGTTCGTTCAGAAACGCACAGAAATCCTGAAGACACGGGGTTGCGATTCAATCTTGATTCTTGCTTGAGTATATCAAAACAGCCGAGTGTATCAAAGGCCGATTCAACGGCAGCTGCGGCGCGATTGTCACTGGGTCAGATTTGCCGAAATTTCAAAAAAAAACGTCCGAATCTACACCCTCGATGAAAAGGTTGCATTCCTCCATTTCACAACCTTTGAAGCAGCTTGAGGTAGAGTTAGATAGAGCTGGATTTCGCGTTTCCAACAAGCATCGAAATTGCTCTGGAAGCCTTCCTTGCAGAAAGATAGGGTCTGTCAAATTTCGTCGAGTAAATGTCGAGGAGGCCCAAATTTTCACGCGAGTTTTGCCACTTCAAGAGCAATATATCTCTTATATTGTAAGATCCTGAAAAAGGGAAGATAGTTTTGGAAAGCGGAAGGTTTGCGCTTCCTGATGGTCTGTTTAGTTTTCTTCTACAGCTTTTTGGTTGAAGAGATAATTGCGTCGAGGATCTATCGAGGTCGGATCCGGCCACCTGGAAATCCGCTCCCTCATTTCACCATTGCAAGTGTGACTCGTTGGCAACACTCGGAATGTGTCTAGAACAATATCTTTGAAACGCAAACAATAAGAATAGGAGCAATCGTCATCATCCGATTTGGTATTGGTATAAGCCATGCATCCCTCCTCCACTCACAGTTGCAGAATCGATTGAAAGGTGTTATATGGGGACCTTCGAACGAAACTGTATTGTAGTAGACATAGTGTGTTGTGCTATTCCTGTAACCTAAAAAACAACTTCATTTGCCCAGCGCTTTTTCTTCACGGTTGTCGTTTTTCCGACAGGGTCCCTAACAACAGCGTCATTCTCAGCGAGGTATTAAGGGAGAAGGAGCGAGTGATAGGCGGAGGAGGTGCCTTTGCAGCGCGTGCGCACATGTGGCACTCTTCTTTGCGGGGATGCACTTTCATTCTTTGTACTGCCTTCAAATACGCCCTTCTCATGAAGGTGGAGGAATGGAGCGACTGAACCTGCAAAGAAAATTTAATATCATTTTTTTTTTCGGATGTTTTCATTTTCTGCTGCGCTATACCCTATTACCTATCTGCACCATGATACCACTTCTGTTACTGACCCCCAAGAGTACGACCCCCCATGGACCAGCCCAACAGGTACGACCCCCCTGTCGAGGATTTCCTCGACCGATATTCACCCTGCTCAGAGTCCCCTCGACGCCGACCCAAAAACTAGTCCCGTCGGCATGACTTGCCGGCGGTTTTTGTCAGCGCAATTCAGGACCTCGCCACTCTCTGAGCGCTTGGTGCAACACTTTTTTGTTCTGTCTGTGTAGTCCCCATTTCTGCATTTGTTTTGGCTTACCCTAGCAAATTGCCACGTTCCAACTTGTAAGGACCGAGAGCCGCCGCGTGCGGTGACCTACTTTCCGCTTGCGCGGCGAACCTCAGGGGGACTCTTGTCCTCCACCTCCGCCCCCCCCCGCTCATCCGGCTGCCACGGCAGCACCATGTAGAATGAGACTGAGTGTGCTCGATCGGTGTTTATATAGCCGCTGTGGGTTTATCATGATCATGACATCAACATCACGAAGTGTTGCCCTTCGTACTCCCTGGTTTTGTGAGCGGTTGGTCCGGACGGACAGAACGACACACACACACCGACAAACCGACACACCAAAGTTCTGGTTTATATAATGAAGTGATTGGGTGAAGGCGATTAGGCGGTGAAGACTACATGTGTATTGATTGATTTGCTCCGCCCTGAGAGCGTTGTAGGCGAGTAGGCGATCGCCCAATGGGCGGAGCAACAAATCAATACGTACCCTCCTCTTATCGCCTACTCGCCCAATCGCCTGCTCCATGAATGATCATGATGAACGCTCCATTAGGTTAAGGGCTCACTCACCTTCCTAATCGGCTGTGCTAAGGGAATGAGAGACTAAGCGCGGAGAGGAGAGTATGAGGCGAGAGAGCGCTACAGATGAGAGAGCGCCAGACAACAGCCTGATAAGAGAAAATCTGCAGCTTCAGCAGCTTACTTTGCAAGGCCCAAGCGCTCTTGTCGGTTGGTTTCCGTGCACGGAACGCCACATTTGTGATTGTCCTCTAGGGGTCTATACTACAGACCGAAGGAAGCGTTCACACGACCTCTGCCTGGGTTGTGCCTTTACAGGAGTGGCGCCGTTACATTTTTGAAATGGAACAGCCGGACAGTTGACCCTGATCATAGTCAAGCTCTGAACTCACCATATTATGCCCAGTCGCTACAATCTTTCCTTGTCTAACTACGACCGCTCCGAAGGGACCGCCATCCCCAGCCTGCACTCCTGCGCATGCTTCATTGACTGCAGCCTGCATGTGGTCCATCGCCGACACCTCAGCGAGCTTATGTCCACCGCTTCCTCGGCGACTTGCTAAAAATTGGCATCCGAGTCGTACTCGGTACTCATGCTTCATTGAAAAATTGGGTAAAATGATAAAGTCATAGTGATAAGGTAGCAGATGTGACTATTCTCTTCCGGAGTAAGGTGGCGCTCCTTTATCTCACTCAGGCTAACAAAGTGTTTCTTCACGCCGAGAACGGCTTGTTTGGGAAAAAGTGATGGTATGAA